AAGCCAGCCAGCACTTCTCTGTTATTGTTAGCTTGGTAATGTTGGTCAGAAAAGTTGGAAGCAGAGAGGGCCCGGGAGGAGCAGACATCTGGGACCGGTGAGCAAGGTGGAGGCTGGTACAAGGGACAAGGGAACAGAAAGCTGAACTCAGGCTGGGAAGGCACACTTCCTGGGGTAATGTCATCATCGCCCAAGGGAGAAGCTGGCAACTCCAGGCCTTGAATGGCCGCTACTGAGTTTGAAAGCAGAATTGTTTGGTCATGCTTAAAGATTGTGAAATTCTACCTGGGCGTGGTGAGGCCCACCTCGGCTACGCAGAAGGTTCATGCAGGACACACTCAAGTCTAAGTCTGCACCGGCAGGCTGCAGAGCATGGCCCAGCCAGCAACATAGGGGCACCTTGCTACAAAAATATTGTAGAATCCCCCAGTGACGGGCTGGGGTGTGACTCAGTGGTAGAGCCCCTGCCTAGAATCCCCCAGTGAGGGGCTGGGGTGTGGCTCAGTGGTAGATCACCTGCCTAGAATCCCCCAGTGAGGGGCTGGGGTGTGGCTCAGTGGTAGAGAACCTGCCTAGACTCCCCCAGTGAGGGGCTGGAGTGTGGCTCAGTGGTAGAGCACCTGCCTAGAATCCCCCAGTGAGGGGCTGGGGTGTGGTTCAGCGGTAGAGCCCCTGCCTAGAATCCCCCAGTGAGGGGCTGGGGTGTGGCTCATCAGTCAAACTCTTTTGCTGCACGTTGCAAACCTTTGGTCCCATCCTTACACTGTTTAATCTTTAAAAAATCCTAGAGAGAAGCCAGGTGGAAGTGTTGAACCTTTTAATTCCAGTTCTCGGGAGGCAGAGGCAGGTGGATCTCTGAGTTTGAGGCCAGCCTGGTCTACAGAACTAATTCCAGGACAGCTGTGACTGTTACACAGAGAAACCTTGTCTCGAAACAGACAAACAAAAACCTAGAGAGGGAGACCTAGGAAAAGATCTGAGGGGACAAAGGAGGGACTTGTGTGCTGTGGTGGTGGCTGGACAGTTGGAAGGAGCCTAGCACCTGGGGAGGAGGGAGCAGAGTGCTGGGAGGAAACTCTCACCTCACTGGGCGCACCCTCCGTGGGCCAGGTGAACCATATGTAACCATCAAAGCCTACACTGCTGTGGAAGAGGACGAGGTGTCTCTGTTGGAGGGTGAAGCCATTGAGGTCATTCATAAGCTTCTGGATGGCTGGTGGGTGATCAGGTAGGAGATCCCTCTCCCCCTGCACACATCTACCTGATTGAGTCCAGGGGACCTCACTTGGGCTCTGAACTAATTTGACAAAGGAAATCAAAAGCAAAATCAAGAAGGAAAAATGACAGTCTCTTAAAGGCGTCACAACACACAATGTCAGGATCCACACCTGACTTCCTGCCCAGACTCAGAAGGGCGGGTTGGGGCTGGGGGTGTGTGGGGGGCTTCTGTCGCTACAGATAAGGAAACAGGCTGACCCTTTAGGGTGTGAATGTTTGAAGTATCTTAGCCTGCATTGGTCCCCGTGGCTGAGGCACTCTGAAGCCCCCCAGCTCTGTGCACACACCCTTCTTGATTACCTGAGCCTCCAGTGTGGCCCATCTTGCAGGAAAGGAGATGTCACTGGCTACTTCCCATCCATGTATCTGCAGAAGGCTGGGGAGGAGATAACCCAGGCCCAGAGGCAGATCAGAGGCCGTGGGGCACCTCCGCGCAGGTGAGAGAGCCACCCCTCCCCCACTGCCACGACCCGAGGGAGGGTCACAGGTTCCTGGCAGGTAAGGTACCTATCAGGTTTAGTGCTGTGCCTTCACCGTTGCTGGATGTGGCAGGCACGAATGGAGGGAAGGTAGGAACAGAGGTAGGGAGGAGTCCGCTGATGCTGAGAGGCCTTTGGGATGGTCAGTGAGGCCTGGGAAGTCCCAAAGTAAGGACACGTTGATGGCCAGAGCAGGTGTGGGAAACAGGCCTGGGCTCTGGGACAGGATAAGATCTGGGATACCCACCTGCTCTTGCAGGTTTTCCTGCTTGCACTCCATTTGCTAAATATAGGCTTAGAACCTGAGGGGGTGCCACAGTCCCTCTGCACCCACTTGCTGGGGTCAGACTTAGGATTTCAGGGTGCCACCGTCTCTCCTCATCCTACTTTCTCGGCCAGGCTTGGGCTCCCAGGGACCCCGCGTGCCGGGGACAGGGATTCCGGGTCACTGACACCTCCATCCTGCTGTGCCAGGTCGACTATCCGAAACGCACAGAGCATCCACCAGCGTTCTCGGAAGCGCCTCAGTCAGGACGCCTATCGCCGCAACAGTGTCCGATTCCTGCAGCAGCACCGTCGTCCAGCACGACCCGGGCCGCAGAGTGCAGTGGGCACAAAGAGTGAGTGCCGGAAGGGGGCGGGGCCAGGGCTGGAGGGCGGGACCAACTCATAAATCCCATCCCATCCCCTAACTCCAGGCGGACTAGACCTAACGGGGTGGGGTGGATGGCGCGTTACTGCCAGCTAAGGGCTGGGAGGCAGAGCCACTGATGGTCCTGGCATTATCGTAGACAATCCGCCGACTCAGCACGCCAAGGCGCAGCCCGCAGTGCCCCCGAGACCCAGCGCGGACCTCATCCTGCACCGCTGCACAGAGAGCACCAAGCGGAAGCTGGCGTCTGCCCTGTGAGGGCGCTGCAGCCTCTAGTAGGCGTCCCATTCCTATCCCTGTATATACTTATATATAGCTGTGGTCAGAGGTTCCTCCCTTGCCTTAATAAATGTTGTTCGGAGTGAACTGAGACTCCGTAAGCCAAGGACGGGACTGGGCTTCGCTCCAGGGGTATGCTAGGAGGCAGTAAGCGGCGCTGGGGCAGTTTGCAGAAACAGAGAAAGGTCTGGTTGCATGCTGCTTTAGTCTTGGCCAAGAACAAGTTTGCAGCAGGCCAAGTGCTTTATTGAGGCCCTGAGACAGCAGTTCTCAACCCACAGGAGTCGCGCCTAGGGCAATGGGAAAACACAGATATGTACATTACGATTCACAACAGTAGCAAAGTTACAGTTATGAAGTAGCAATGAAAATTTTATGGTTGGGGGTGCCCACGATATGAGGAGCTATTAAGGGTCGCAGCATTAGGAAGGTTGAGAAGCACTGCCCTAGGGTTTGTGGACGATTTCTAGCGGACTCTCATCCCTTGCACCGCATAATCGGCTGTGTCAGTGGTCCAGCATCTGGGAGGTCAAGGCAGAGGCTCATGTCTGTAATTTCAGAACCAAGAGGCAAGGAAAATACTGCTAGGCTCAAAGTTGGTCTGGACCATGTAGTGAATTTGGGATCGTGTTGAGTTACAGTGTGAGACCCTGTCTCAAACTACTGCACCCCAAGATGTAATCTTAGCATAGAGGGTACTGGGGGTTATGACGGAAAGCAGCAGTTCATTCACGGACAGTGCCCACCACGGTCATTGCTTTCATGTCCCTAAGACCTTGAGACAGGTGGCTCCTTCCCCAAATGCAAAGAAACTGCTGGTTAATGTTCCATCAATTTAACCAAGCTGAAGGAAGGGAACCTCCATGGAGAAAATGCCTCCAAGGGGCTGGAGAGATGGCTCAGAGGTTAAGAGCACTGACAGGACCCGGTTCAATTCCCAGCATCCATATGGCCGCTTGACAGCTCACACCTGTCTGTAACTCAGTTCCAGGGGATCCAATAGCCCTCACACAAACATATATTCAGGCAAAACACCAATGCACATAAAAATAAATACATATTGAAAAATAATTTATAAAAGAGAAAATGCCTCCATAAAACCAAGCTGTAAAGCTGGGCATGGTAGTACACACCTTTAATCCCAGGAGGCAGAGGCAGGTGGGATTTCTGTGAGTTCAAGGCCAGCCTGGTCTATAGATCTAGTTCCAGGACAGCCATAACTACAGAGAGAAACCCTGACTTGAAAAAAGCAAAAGTCACCTGGCGGTGGTGGTGCACACCTTTAATCCAGAACTCGGGTGGCAGAGGCAGGCAGATCTCTGTAAGTTCAAGGCCAGTTTGGTCTACAAGAGCTAGTTCCAGGACAGGCTCCAAAACTACAGAGAAACCCTGTCTTGAAAAAAACAAAAAAAGAACCCCCTCCCCAACAACAACAACAACAACAACAAAAAAAAACCCAAAAACCAAAAAAACCCAAGAAACAATAAAAAGTCTGTAAGGCATTTTCTTAATTAGTGATTGATGGGGGAGGGAGGGCCAAGTCCATGGTGGGTGGTGCCATCCCTGGGCTGGTGATGGTCCTGGTTCTATAAAAAGCTGGCCAAGGAAGCCAAGAGGAGCAAGCCAGTAAGCAGCATCTCTCCATGACCAGTTCTTGCCTTCAGGTAGATGTCTGGATTTCTTTTGGTATTGAATAATGATTTAGAGCCAAATAAACCCTTTTCTTCCCAACTTGCTTTTGGTCATGGTGTTTTGTCATAGTGATAGAAACCCTAACGGTAAGATTTTGGCCCGAATTGAGACCCTGGAGGTCCCAGAGCTGGTGGGGTACCATGGGCAGGAAACAGAATACGTCATTCATCATGCAGAGGGAGCTTGGGGAGTATGAAGTTTTATTTAGGAAGAGGATATTGGGGGGGGTAGAGGGGAGGAAGGGAGATATACAGGGCGGGGGGGGGGAAGAGGAAAAACGGGGTGGGAAGGGGCAGAGCGCAGCCTCTTCAGAAGAAGGGAGGGGATAAAGGGGGCCAAGGGATCCTGCCTCAGTGGGGAGGGAGGGAGAGACAGAGATATCTGATGCCCTCTTCTGACTTCCAAGGGCTACTGCACACATGTGCTGAACATATACACACTCAGGCACACATAATATTTTTTTAAAAACACAAAGCAAAAAAAAATACAATATGAAATACTTTCTTCACTTTTCTTCTAGAAAAATAGGTCTTACTATGTATCCCAGTCTGTCCTTGATCCTCCTGCCTCAGGCTTCTGACTGCTGGGATTCCACTTTTGTTGTTTTTTTTCCCCCTAAGCTAAAGTCATGATTAAATGCCTCCTCTTTTGGACAGGTATGCTCTCATGTGTGTGCACAGCACACACACACACACACACACACACACACACACACACATACACACATGCATTCATGTGTGCTGATTCAGGACCTCATGCAGGTCAGGTGGCCTCAGATCCCCTCGGAGGTAGAAGATGACCCTGAGACCCTGACCACCCTGTCTCCATCTCTGAGTACTGGGATTCCAGCTGTGCACACCCCCCTCCATCTGTTTTTCTCTATTTCTGATCTTGCTGATGCTGCCTTGTACCAGCCTTCGTGTCTCCAGCCAAAGGCCTGTGTGTGCAGGGAAGCCCTAGAGTGAGCAAGTCAGACATCGCCTCCTGCTGGTCATCAGTCTTCTTGAGTGTGCAGACAGTAAGGGGCTTACTCCAGTGTCTTTGGGCTTGAAATCCAGAGACAAGGAGTCCACAGCCCAGGGGATGTTGGCAGTTTCCTTAGGGTAAATCCATAGGAAGGAGGCAGACGCTACTTGGGACCACACTAGCGTGGGCCTATGGACACATACTTTTTTGAACAGTTTCTCTTTTGTCAAGACAGGGTTCCTCTGTGTGGCCCTGGATGGCCTGAAGCTCACTCAGTAGACCAGACCTCAGAAACCCACCTGCCCTTTCCTCCCAAGTGCTGGGATTACAGTGGTGTGCCACCATGCCTAGCTAGCTGGACCACATTGTATGTACGGTGTATGAACTGGATTCATCTAGTTAGGTGGGTGTGTCCTTCTGGGTTGGATTTATCTGGGCCACTTCCCCTTATCCTTTGACTGATGGACATCAATGCCTGATCTGAAGAAACAGCAGCAAATCAAGAACCAGCTCCCGCAGGAACGGAGGGATGGCTCAGTGGGTGAAGGCACTTGCGGCCAAGCCCAATGATTGCGTTCAATCCTTGGGACTCACGTAGTAGGAGAACTGATTTTCACAAGTTGTCCTCTGACCCCCACGTGTACGCTGTGACACAAACACACAGCTTGCCCACATAAGCACACACAAAACAAATACATGTTAAAAACCAAAACAAAACAGCTCCCAGGCCAGTTCCTTCCCCATTTACCCGGCCACACAACTCCATAGCCATGCCATTGCCATTGCCATAGTTACTGAAGAACTATGTCCCCGCCTACATAGTCCATCCTCTCCCACAGTGGAAGTGCCTGTCAGCCCCCATAGGGTCCCACATCCCATTCCACAGTAGAGAAGGATTCTGGAGCAGATGCCATGGAGTGTCCTGTAATCCCAGATCTTTGGAGCCTGAGGCAGGAGGGTCTGATTTCTAGGTCAGCCTGGTCTGCATAAGGAAGTTCTGTCAGAGAAAGGAAGGATGGAGGAGAGAAGACAGAGGAAGAGGAAGGCGATGATGGCCCTGAAGCCTCAACTTACCTGTCTGTTAAATTGTTAAATCCTGTGTTCATTACTCCGATCTTCTCCAGGCACAGGAATTCTAGAATATGGGACAGTGTCTCCAGACGATTGTCCTTAGACTCAGGAGCTTACTAGACCACAGGCCACAGGCTGGTAAAACGGGGAGACACCGTATGTGCGAACACCCCTCCATTCACACACACTCACACACACACTCACACACACTCACTCACACACACACACACACACACACACATCTTTCAGTGGGTTTATTACAAACTGTATTATATGAATGAATAACACAGGGCAGTCAGGAACAAGAGGTGCCAGCCACCGGAAACACCTCAGTTACGGGCTCTGCTGAACTACAGCCAGGCCTCAGATGCCATCTGAACAGGTGTGATATGCAAATTAGGGTTCCAATTCAAAGAGGGACTTTTATCCCATTGAACCGGGAGGTTTTAACAGTCTGTTGCTCTCACAATCTCTTAGGCTTGGGACAGTACAGGTCTTCACACAATGGGGGGACAGGGGACAGCCAGATTCCACTCCTTCTGTATCTCTTCCAGCACTTTCTCTGGGGTCTCGATACTGATACGTAGCCCAGGCTGATGGCAAAGTCAAACTCAGGTCCTCCTGCCTCGACCTTCCCAGTACTGGGGTATCAGGCTCCAGCCCTCCCCTCCCTCAGGTTGCTACCTGTGCCGAGCCCCACTGCGCCTCCTTCTTGCTCAGCTTCATGATGGAGAAGAGCTGCTCGCAGATGTGGGTGCTGCTGAACATGGACAGCATCTTGGCACAGTGGAGCCTGTATCTGGGGTAGCTGCTCCAGAGGTGCTTGTAGAAGTCCGGGATGCCCACCTTGTCGTACTTGGTCCTGAGCACCGTGTTGCACTGTAGGTCGATCACCTCCATCTGGAGCTCCTCAGGCACACTGTCAATCTTGACGGAGAAGGGAGAGCTCAGCAGGGTGAGCTCGTTCTCCCAGGCCTTGAAATCCGCCAGCCGCTTCTGGAACTCGCCCTTGAGTTCCGCGATCTTGGGTATGTAGTTAAGTCCGTCGCTCTCGCTCTGGGAAACCGACTTCAGCGTGGGAAAGTGGGCTAGGTTGTTGCTGGCCAGGTGCGTCTCCCAGAGGCACAGTTTTGTTAGGAAGGCCCGGATGAAGTCGAACATCTGTGTCACCATCTGTGAATGGCCTTGGAGGGAGGCGTCCAGTGTGTTGAGGTGTGTCGTCATGTCCACTAGGAAGGCCAAGTCCAGGATCCAGTCCTGGGAGCTGAGCTGGGGCACAGGTTTGCCCCGGGAAGACATGAACAAGTCTATTTCCTCCAGGGATTCGAAAAACCTCCTGAGGACCAGCCCCCGGCCCAGCCACTTGAGGGACGTGTGGTACAGCAGGCTACCGTATTGGCTGTCCAGCTCATAGAGCAGCGTCGTGAAGTCACCGTGGTTCATGCCACGGGAGCAGATACAGTTCACCGAGTCCACCACCACGTCCATGACGTGGCCCATCCGTAACTTCTGGGAGCACAGCCACTCGGGGTGGATGATACAGCACACGGACTTGAGGTCGGCCCCCTTGCAACATGAGGCTGCCCTGGCTCTGAGCTTCGTCACCAGCCCACTGTTGGCGTCCACCATGGCCGGGGTACCAGTGGAGGCCACGCTCACCAGCTTGGACCAGTCGATACCGAACTTCTTGAGACTATTCTCTACGCAGAGAAGGATCTCATTCCCGGATTTGGCGCCTGTCATGGGCACAGTGTCCAAAAGCTCCTCGGCCACGTCGAAGTTGTCATCTACGCCGCGGATGAAGATGGCCAGCTGGGTGGTGTCGTTGATATCTGTAATCTCATCGATGGCAATGGAGTACGCCACAAAGGACCGGATCTTCTGCCGTACTGTCTTCCATATGTTCCCGGCCACATCTTCCACAGGCGGTGCCACGGGGTTCGCAGTTGGACTTGTGTTGGAGCACGCTTGCTCAGGGCCCACAATGTCTGAGGTCCCCACGAGGTACTTCTGCAGCCCCGTTTTCAGTTCTTGCAGCTTTTCGTCCCGCGCCTGCCCCGAGTACTGGTCATAGTGCCGGCTGTGGTTGGTCTGGTAGTGGCGGCGCAGGTTGTACTCCTTGGACACCGACACGCTCTGCTTGCAGATCAGACACGTGGGGATGTTCTGCACCTCCATGAAGAAATATGCTCGCTCCCACTTTTCTTGGAACACTCGGCCCTCCTGGTCTATCTTCCGTTTTCCCACTTTACAGAGACAAGGAAAGGTGATTTCGCAACTTCCTATCCCTTACCCCGTTTTCTTGTATTTTTGAGAGAGGCTATCCTTATACCTACCTCCTCAGCTGGCCTCAAACTCACTAGGCAGCCAAGAACTAGGTAGCAGACCTTGAATTTTGATCCTCTTGCTTCCACTTCCTGAATGTGAGATTATTGGCATGTGCCACCATGCCCAGCCTCTCTATGAATCTCTCCACATAGCCCTGGCTGTCCTGGAAGTCACTCTGTAGGCCAGGATGGCTTCAAACGCAGAGAGATCCGCCCATCTCTGCCTCCTGTGTGCCAGGACTAAAGGCCTGCGTCACAATACCTGGCTCTCTTTCTCTGGCTTTTTTTGAGACTGCCTTAATCTGTAGCTCAGGCTGGCCTTGAACTCCTAGCGGGACTCTTGCCTCAGTTTCCTGAGTGCTGAGATCACAGGTGTGTGCCACCTTACCTAACTTTCCAAGAGAGATTTGAAATATTAAAGTAGGGACCAAGCAGAGGCGATATATGACTTAACCTGCTGTCGGTCTCAAAAGACCCAGGGTCAGGCCGGGCAGTGGTGGTGCATGTCTCTAATCCTAGCACCTGGGAGGCGGAGGCAGGCGATTTCTGTGAGTTCGAGGCCAGCCTGGTCTACATAGAGAGCTCTAGGACAGGCTTCAAAGCTACACAGAGAAACCTCGTCTCAAAAAAACAAAAACCAAAACTAAAACAAAAATAAACAAAGGTAAGTGGAGCAGTTACTGATAGCACAAATATGAAAATTTAAGAAAATGTAGTTGGGTAACCGGGTGTAGTAGTTATAGTGGCATATGCCTCTAATCTTAGTACTTGGGAGGCAGAGGCAGGTGGATCTCAGTGAGTTCAAGGTCAGCCTGGTCTATGATCTCTCAGAGTGAGTACCTGGACAGTCAGGGTGTCAGGGCTATACAAAGAAACCCTGTCTTGAAAAAACCAAAAAAAAAAAAAAAAAAAAAAAAAAGGAGGGGAGGAAGGAAGGAAGAAAGAGGAAGAAAGAAAGAAATTGTAGTTGGGGGCCAGGTGTGATAGAGCACTTGCTGACTATGCTTGAAGCCCTGGCTGATAATATCCAACACCACATAAAACCAGGTATGGTGTCATGAGTGTGTAATCTAGCACTTGGGAGGTGGAAGCAGGAGGATTGCTGTGAGTTTGAAGCCAGCCTGAACTACTCAATGAGTTCTAGGCTAGTCCGGGACCGCAGGAATGAGATGTCTCCCAACACCTAACAGCTGGGTGTGGCGATGCACACCTATAATCCCTGCACCCAGAAGCAGGAAGCAGAGGCAGGTGGATCTTCGGGGAGTTTCCAGGCCAGCCAGAGCTACACACTGAGACTGTCTCAAACAATAACAAACATTAACCAAACAAAAGGTAACCAAAGTGAAATAAATGTAAACCAGGGCTGTGAATGGAGATCAAAGGCAGGGTGCTTGCCTGGCATGTGGGCGACCCTGGGTGTCATCTCCAGCCCCACAACAAAACAAACATAACAAGCACACTTGAATGTCCACGCGCTCCACTGGGAGGCTCCAGGCTGCAGACATGGGACTCTGTCCCAAGTGCCCACCAAGACACTCCACAAAGCACCCCGTCCCGCAATGTTCTTACTTCGTACTCACCATTACTAAGTTCGAGTCCAGGAAGGGGTCTGCGGGGAGACACAGGAGAGAGAAGGGGAGCTCGTTTTCATTCTGCCCAGCTAGCTGCGTCTCCACACTTCTGGTGGGATCAACACAATGCTAGGCAAAGTTGGAAGTCAGGCCAAGGGGCGCTGCCCACGATGGTCAGCAAGATGCTTGCTGCCACGCCTGAGACCTGACTGTTCAATCGTGGCCCGCATGGGGGAAGGAAAGAACTGATTCCCGCAAGCTGCCCTCACACACGTGCCATGACAAGCCCCTCGTAAATAACTGCAATAAAAAAATAACACAAGGAACCGGACTAGAGACACAGCTCTGTCAAAGCGGAAGAGAGGGGAAGTCTTGGGACAGCTCGGCTCCCCATGCCGCTTGTCTCCTGGCCGAGTTCGTGCACTCGGCAGTTGCCCATGTCTAGCTGCGTTCTCACGTGGAGCTGGGATGCGCTCACCTGACGACGGTGAACTTGATGAAATCGGCTGCATCCAGGATCCTCCTCATGGAGCTGATCTCCAGGTACCCGGGGGCTTTGAACACCACTCCCGGGGGCATGCCGTCGATCACCACGCAGCCGGGGTTAAAGGTGATTTTCCTGTAGGGAACCTTCACAGGGAAGTCCACTCCTATGGCCTCCCCTGTGATGAGAGGCGGGGTGTAAACTGGGTGACTTTGGGGTTTACTTTTCTAAAACTCTGCTTTTTGCTCTTGGTCTTTTTTTTTTTTTTTTGAGTCAGGGTCTATGGTGGCTCAGACTGGACTTGAATTCATAGCAATCATCCTGCCTCAGCCTCCTAAATGCTTGAATTACATGCCAGGTTGTCCATGCTTGGTCGTTAATGTCAACATCTGAGCTGGACCCAGAGGCACACACACAATCCCTGCTGCTTATAGTTGAGGAGTAAGATGTGACAAGCTGTCTCCAAACTCAATGACTGAGCTGAGCCTCGTGATACAGGCCGAGCTAAAGCAGGAGGGCTGAAAGCGCAGACTGCTTACTCTCCGAAGACTTTGGAAATACCTGCAAACGCACGGCCTGTACCTCTGGCACTTCTCAAGGGCAATGCAAACATGTCCTGAGTTCAAGGCCAGGCTAGGCTATCCAGCCATGTCCTGTCTCAAAAACAAATAAGTAAAAAGAAAAAGTATTTTGGTTAGAGACTAGAACAGGCCTAGAGTACGTTCAATGTTCAATGCTTCAAATGGGTGGAGGGGGTAAAGTTTACAAATTTGGGGGCCGTAGAACTGCAAAGATGACTCAGCAGTTAAGAGCACTTATTGCTCTTCCAAAGAGCTGAGTTTGATTGCCGGTACCAATACTGGATGGGTAGCACCTGCCTGTAACTCCAGTTCCGAGGGGTCTGGCGCCCTCTTTTGGCCTCTAGAGACACTGAACTTGCATGTACACACCCGCCCCCACACATAATTTAACAAATACATACATTTCGGATATATAACAAGACAGAAGCTTACCAAATTTTCTGCTGAAGAGGTAGTTCACCTGCTCTCGAAGCTGCTTAATTTTCTCAATGCCGGACAGTCTCTCCTTCTCATTGTCTAAAAATAATTTGGAGAAGCAAACCAGGCTCATTCATACTTTTTTCCCTCTAAGACAGGTATTAGCAGAATTGCCTGTTGGCACTTTACCTGCTGTGGTGCTTTGAACAGGTATGGACCCCAGAGGCTCATGGGTTTGAATGCTTGGCCCATGGGGAGTAGCACTATTAGGAGGTGTGGCCTTGTTGGAGGAAGTATGTTACTGTGGGGGTGGGCTTTGAGGTCTCATATGCTCAAATTATGCCTAGTGTGGTACACAGTCTCCTGCTGCCTGTGGGTCAAGATGTAGAACTCTCAGCAACTTCTCCAGCACCACATCGGCCTGCACCCCGCCATGATGATAATGGACTAAACCTCTAAAACTGTGAGCCAGCCCCAATTAAAAGTCTTCCTTTTTAAGAGTTGCTGTGGTCACGGTGTCTCTTCACAGCAACAGAAACCCCAAGGCACCTATATTACCTGAGCACAATAACTAAGCATTTGGGAAATTCACAAAATGGAAGCCATCACAGATGATAATTTTCCGAATGACAACCCTATCGAAATATACCCCGTATTACTTTTTAAAATGTATTTGTATCTATGTGCATGCCACATGCATGCAAGAGCCCTTTGATGAGGATAGGGGCTCCCCTGGAGCAGATGTGGGATGGGAAACAAACCCAAGTCCTCTGCAAGAGCAGTAATCCGCCCCTCTCAGCCTTGGGCCGCCTCCGGTCCCTGCTCATGCTACGCTTAGGAGCACCGTCAGCGCTGCACGAGGCCACTGCCTTCCATGCTGTGGCACAGACCTCAGACCACACAACACGACAACGAAAGAAGAATACATGATACTGGAACTAGAAGGGAACATTTTCAATACTTCAAAATCTATTTTTTTAATTAAAGTTTTGTGTGTTTTTTTTTTCCCCAGACAGAGTTTTTCTTTGTAGCCTTTGCTTATCCTGGAATTCACTCTGTAGGCCAGGTTGGTCTTGCATTCGAGATCTGTGTGCTTCTGCTTTCTGAGTGCTGGGATTAAAAGTATGCCCCACCATGCCTGGCTCTTATTTTAAACAAAAAAAATTTTAAAATTGGTGTGGTAGACACACCTTTAATCTTAGTACTTGGGAGGCAGAAACAGGCAGATCTTTGTGATCTTGAGGCTAGCTTGGTCTACAGAGTGAGTTCCAGGACAGTCAGGGCTACATAGAGAAATCCTGTCTCGAAAAAACAGAATATAGCTGGGCAGTGGTGGTGCACACCTTTAATCCCAGCACTTGGGAGGCAGAGGCAGGTGGATCTCTGTGAGTTCAGGCCCAGCCTGATCTACAGATCTGTAGAGCCAGTGCCAGGATAGGCTCCAAAGCTACACAGAGAAACCTTGCATCAAAAAAAAAAAAAAAAAGGAAAGAAAAAAAAACCAAAACATAAATAAAAATAAAAAATAAATTTTAAAAGGTGGAGGGTGGGAGTGGCAAGGGAGAAGACTCAGCAGCTAGAACACTGTTGCTCTTGCAGAGGACCTGGCTCCTTTTCCAGCACCGACATGGTGGTCACCACCATTCTACCCTCATCTGAACTCCACGGGCAGCAGGCATGCATGTGGTGCACATGCATACACACAGGCGAAACTCATACATAGAAAACAAAGACATATCAAAAATAAATAGAATCTTTATGTCAGGTGTGATGGTGCATGCCTTTATTTCCAAAAGTCAGAAGGCAGAGGCAGGTGGAGCACTGTGAGTTCAAAACAACCTGAGTCTTGAGTCCCTGCTTCAAAAAGAAAAAAGAAAAAAAAAAAACAACAGAGTTCAAGGCCACCCTAGTCTACATAGTGAGCTCCAGAATAGCCAGGGACACACAACACAGTCTGTCTCCAAAAGTAAATAAATACAGTTGTCAGGGTTGGAGAGATGGCTCAGTGGTTAAGAGCACTGGCTGCTCTTCCAGAGGACCCGGGTTCAAGTCCCAGTACATACATGGCAGCTCACAACTGTCTGTAACTCCAGTTCCAGGAGATTGAACCCCCTTACACAGACATACACATGCAGGCAAAATACCAACGTACATAAATTAAAAATAAATAAATTATTAAAATAAATAAATAAATAAGCAAAATACTCAAAACTTTTCATTTTAACTATCTTGGGGGGGGTATCATGTGGAGAGCAGAGGATCCCTCCTCCTACCATGTGGGTCCTGGGGAGGAACTTAGATGGTTACTGGTCAGGCTTGGTGGCAAGTACTTTACCTGCTGAGCAATCTCATCAGCCCTAATTTTACTTCTGAGTAACTAAAACAGTTGAGTGGCTCAAAATTCAAGAAGTATAAAAGTGTGTATTAAAACAATTCTGGGGGGGGGGCTGGAGAGATGGCTCAGAGGTTAAGAGAGCATTGCCTGCTCTTCCAAAGGTCTTGAGTTCAATTCCCAGCAACCACATGGTGGCTCACAACCATCTGTAATGAGATCTGGTTCCCTCTTCTGGCCTGCAGGCGCACACACACAGACAGAATATTGTATACATAATAAATAAATAAATAAATAAATAAATAAATAAATAAATATTTAAAAAAAATAAAAAATAAATAAAAGAATTCTAGGGGGCTGGAGATATGGCTCAGTGGTTAAGAGCACTGGCTGCTCTTCCAGAGGTCCTGAGTTCAATTCCCAGCAACCACATGGTGGCTCACAGCCATCTATAATGAGGTCCTCTTCTGGCCTGCAGGCACACACGGAAGGAATGTTGTATACAAGATAAATAAATAAATCTTTAAAAGAAAAAACCAATTCTGGGAATGGGGCTGGAGATGACTCAGGGGTTGAGGGTGCTCACTGATCTTGCAGAGGATCCAGGTTTAGTTTCCAACACCCACATAGTGGCCGGTAGCCTCCTATGACTCCAATTCCTGGGGGATCTGACATCTTCATCCAACCTCCATGGGCTCTTACATACATGTGATGCACACACACATATTCAGGTCCACATACTACACATAAAATAAAAAATAAGTACTAACACACACAGTAAATTAAATGTAACTAGATACTGTCCACCCCCAGCTCAGTTTCCTACTTTGAAGTAACCATGTAACTAGACTGTTTACGGAGGTCCCATACAGAGCTTCTATGCACATGGTGAAAAGATGATTTAAATGACCAGACGCCAGTTCTGACTGCCTGGGAGCATGAAGCTGACTGTAGGAAGAGATTTTCTATGTAGAACCTGGGCTTGGCTGATGTGAGTCTGAGATTTGTTTGGCGTGTGGCACCTGCAGAGTACTAGAGGCTCACAAATTCTCACTCTTTAGTTATGGTAAACCAGGAGGAGACACAGCACCATGAGACTAACACATGTTAGAAAACTAAGACAAAAATGAAGACTGTAACACAGGGCTGGAGAGATGGCTCAATGGTTACAAGCATTTGCTGGGTTCAGTTCCCAGCACCCATACAAGGCAGCTCACAACTGCCTGCAATTCCAGCTTCACAAGATCCAAGGCCCTCTACTGGCCTCCACGGGCACTGCACTCACATGGCTCACACACACACACACACACACACACACACACACAAAATTAAAAGAAAACAATCTTTACAAAAAGAAAAATATTTAATCCCAGAATTTGGGAGGTAGAGGCAGGTGAATCTCTGAGTTTGAGGCCAGCCTGGTTTACAAAGTGAGTTCCAGAACAGTCAGAGCTGTTACACAGAGAATCCTGGTCTCAAAAACCAGAAAAGAAAAGAAATACGATACAAATGATGAGAGTAAATGAGTGTCCTACCTGGAACTGTCACCTGTACGATCCTAAGATCTTCAACGCCTGCTGCAGAGTTTACAATGTTGGACAGATTTGTCTTCCCTTAAGAGACAAGAGTTAGGATGAACAGAGAACCAGCAAGTCTCTAAAAACTACCTGTTGTTGGATGAGAAGTACAGACTGGATGTTTTACACCCCAGAACAGTGAGTGACAGGGTGGGGTGGTGGAGGGATGGCTAACCCTGAAGATCTGAGGGTGCTTCCAGGGGTTTAGCTGAGGGAAGCTCCACCCTGATATTGGGGCTCCACCCCATGGGCTAGGGGCTCAGGTTGAATCAAAAGAAGAAAGTGAGCTGAGCACCAGCATCCATCTCTCTCTGCTTCCTGACTGTGGATGCCATGTGACCAGCTGCCTCAGGCTTTGGCTGCCGTGCCTTCTGTACCGTGAAAGACTGTATCTCCTCAAACTATGAGTAAGAAGACATGCTTCTGCCTTTAAATTGTTGATTTTCTTAGAAAGAATCTGTTTGTTTATGTGTATGAGCGTGTGTCTATGCTGGGATCTGTTTATGTGTATGAGTGTGCATCTATGCTGGGATCTCTTATTTATGTGTATGAGCGTGTGTCTCTGCTGGGATCTATTTATTTACGTGTATGAGCATGCGTCTATGTTGGGATCTGTTATTTATGTGTATGAGCGTGTGTCTATGCTGGGATCTATTTATTTACGTGTATGAGCGTGCATCTATGCTGGGATCTGTTATTCATGTGTATGAGCATGCGTCTATGCTGGGATCTGTTTATTTATGTGTATGAGCATGTGTCTATGCTGGGATCTTTTTATTTATGTGTATGAGCATGCGTCTATGCTGGGATCTGTTTATGTGTATGAGCATGCGTCTATTCTGGGATCTGTTTATTTACATGTATGAGTGTGCATCTATGCTGAGATCTGTTTATTTACGTGTATGAGCGTGTGTCTATGCTGGGATCTGTTTATGTGTATGAGCGTGCATCTATGCTGGGATCTGTTTATTTATGTGTATGAGCGTGTGTCTATGCTGGAATTTGTGCAGCTGAATACAGTGGAGGTCAAAGAGGGCATCAGAGCCCTGAAGCTGGACTTACAGACATTGGTGCCGGGAACCATACTCAGGTCCTCTGGAAGATCAATGCGCACTCCTAACCTCTGAGCCATCTCTGCAGTCCCTTTAGGCAGGTATCCTGCTGCAGCTGCGACAGTACTAGCATGCCAGGTGGATGGCAGAGGCTGGCACTGCACTGTGCAGCTTAACAGGATGACCAAGGAGAGAGGGGCTTTATCTTCCTCTAACCTGACGCTCCCACCACTCCATGGACACCCGCTTTCTTTGCATGTGTTCTTAGGCTGGAAGGATATATTTTCTTCATTTTTAGAGGTACCCTGTGAAGCCTGAAGCCCCACTGCTTAAGGCTGAGAGAACGCGGTCCTTTCCTGTGTTCCAGCTCCGCAATCAGAGCTGGTTTGGAGAAAGCCCCAGAAAAGCCACATGTGCAAGTTCCTCCAGCATCACAGCCCTGTCTAGGACCTTCTGAGTGAGTGCCAGGCTAGCCCCCTTCTGCTTAATGACGCACATGGTGACATCTTCAAAAATGACTGATTCTTGAGGCTCACCCCTTAAGGAGACAGCTGCTATCACTACATTTTTTATTCTTGTTGTAAAGGTCAAACTACCAGGACCAAGGGCTCCAACTGTTCTTGCTAGTTTATCACAAATGGAGGGTGAGGATACCACACAGTGACCCCCATAAACCAAGCCCACAAGTGTTAATTCTAACTACAATTAAAGAGAGAACTATTAATCATTCATATCTGGGGGCCAGAGATGGCACAGTGGGTAAGGGTACTTTTTCTGCAAGGCTGGTGACCTGAGTCCGGTCCTCAGAACCCACATAAAAGTAGAAGAGAAGGGGCTGGAGAGATGACTCAGCAGTTAAGAGCACTGACTGCTCTTCCAGAGGACCGGGATTCAATTCCCAGCACCCACATGGCAGCTCACAATGGTCTGAAGATCCAGTTCCAGGGGATCTTCATACCAATGCACATAAAATAAAAAGCTAAATAAACTATAAGAAATATTTTTTTAAAAAAAAGTGAAAGAGAAGTGGCTCCACAATTGTCCTCTGACCTCCGCATGCACTGTGGCATGGGATCTGTCTCAGTTAATTTTCTGTTGTTGCCAAGGTAACTTATAGAAGAAAGAGTTTATTTGGCTTATGATTTCAGAGGGTTAGAGTTCATGACTACGACAGGGAGCATGGGGCAGGCAGGCATGGCGCTAGAGCTGGAGCTCACATCTTGACCCACAAGCACGAAGCAGAGAACTGGAAATGGTTCTGGAACTTTTGAAATCTCAAAGCCCACCCCCAGGGCCACACCTCCACCACCAAGGCCACACCTCCTAAACCTTCCTAAACAGTTCCACCAACTGGGGACCAAGTATTCAAACACATGAGCCTGTGGGGCCATTCTCATTTAAACCACCACAGCACCCAACACACACATGAACGTGAGCACACACTCTGGCTTCAATCACCATCCTACACAAGTCCTTTCAGAAACAGTAAAAGCCACTCTGACCATGTGACAATCACAAGTGCTTTTGGGGACTCACCTTCCATTTTCACATCGGCCTCAGGATCCTCACTTGTTTCTGAAGAGACCAGTGGAGTGGACTCTTGAAAAGAAAAGGTCTAAAATGACATTCATTATTAAGTAATCTCAGGTGCCAACAGTTTACTGTTCGTATCCCACCCCCCTACACACCTGTCCTCAACCCTGGGGTTCTGTTTTGTTTTGAAGCAAGGACTCACTCTGCAGCTCAGGCTGGCCTCATTTTAGAATTTTAAAAAGGATTTGTTTTATGTGTATGAGTGTTTGCTTGCATGCTTCTATGTTCATATGTATGTGCAATTCATGCAGAGGTCAGAAGATGTCAGGTCTCCTAGAACTGGAATTATAGCTGTAAGCAGTTACGAGCATGCTGGGAACTGAACCAGGTCCTCTGGGAGATCAGCAAGGATTGTAACTGCTGAGCCATCTCTCCAGCCTCCAGCCTTGACATTTTATTTTTTTAAATTATGTTCTGTACATACTAAACACACAGTGAATTTTGATTTTGTCAGAGGTAATCAATCATCAGGCACCGATGGACAATTTCAGGACAAGGGACTTGGCTCGGTTAGTAGAGGGTTTGCCTACCATGCACCAAGCCCTGTGTTCCATCCCTCGAAGTGCACAAGGATCAGAAGTTGAAGGTCATCCTTAGTGACATAAGGAAGTCTGTGGCTAGTCTAGGCTACATCAGACCTGGTCTCCACAAAAGTAAACATCATGAATTCATATGGGATTCCCCTATTAAGGATGAGGGGAGACAGAAACTCCCACAGATTACTAAACAATATCAAACTCTTCATATCCATGGACACAGTGTTATCACACAGCATACAGCTGCTCACATCCATGGACGCGGGGTATTATCAAACAATATAGAGCTGCTCACATCCACGGACACGGAGTATTAGCATACAATATACAGCTGCTCACATCCATGGACATTGAGTCCTCAGCTTAGTATGGCAGGATTTCACACGGTCACAGTGTTTCTTAAGTTTGTAATGGATTACTTTGGGGTGGGGAGGGGCTGACGGAGAGATGACTCAGTTGCTTTTTGTTTTTTGGGGGTTTTTTTTTTTGGCTGTTTTTGTGTTGTGTTATCTATCTATCTATCTATCTATCTATCTATCTATCTATCTATCTGTTGGGGGCAGGGTTTCTCTGTAGAGCCCTGGTTGTCCTGGAACTCACCTTGTAGACCACACTGGCCTAGAACTCATGGAGATTCACCTCCCTAAAGGTTGTGTAGCACCCTCCTGTCCCCTACTGAGATGACAGCCAGAGATACACAGAGGAATCGTGTCTGGGAAACAAAAAAAGGCTTTGGGACCCTCCTCTTGGACTCAGAGGACTGATGCAGGGTTGAGGCCAGTGACTACACGGTCAGTCAACAGACAAAGGCCTAGTGCTATAGTAGGACCACAGGCGGCGCTGGTTCCCACTTACAGACCGGGCACTGGGGGAGCACACAGCCCTTACTGCTGTTTCCTAGGACAGGCGGGCCAGGAAGCCACTGTCTTTATTTCCCACATGGTTAAGGGAGGAGATGCTTCGTTATCTAACCTGCAGACGGCAACTCCATTCCTCTGACATCACTGCTGGTGGAAGAATGCTCGGTTCCTGAAAGGAGAAGAAGCAACCTACAGTTCAATGAGAAATGCAGCTCCTTCAGACGTCACTGGAGCTGTGGGATGGCTCAGCAGGTAAAGGCGCTTGCAGCCAAGCCTGATAACCTGAGTTTGATTCCCGGGACCCATATTATGAAAGGGGGGAGCTGACTCCTGAAAACTGACCTCTGGTCTCCGCTCAAGCACTATGGCACTTCCCTCTTTTCGCCGCCAATAAATAAATAAAAATGTGATATAACATTAGAACAAAACACAGAAGTCTCTGAATGCAAGGGAAACATTTCAAAGACTGGGGTACACTCGGCAGGCAGAGGCTTCCCAGGGTGCAGAAGCTCTGTGCCCACCTAGAATCCCAGCACTCAGGAGGTAGAGACAGGAGGAGCGGGAGTTCAATATCATCCTCTAGGACACAGTAAGTTTGGGGCCAACCTGGGCTATGTGAGACCCTATCTCAAACAAACAAAATAAAATACAATAAAAAGGAGGAGTTACAAAAGCATGGGTGACCCCAAAACACTTACATCACTACCAAAATCCTATTTTTTTCCTATCTTAAAAAATTATTTTGAAAAAAAATATTTTGGGGGCTGGAGATATAGATGGCTCAGAGGTTAAGAGCACTGGCTGCTCTTCCAGAGGACCTGCATTCAATTCCCAGCAACCACATGATGGGTCACAACCATCTATAATGAGGTCTGGTGCCCTCTTCTGGTTTGCAGGCAGAACACTGTACACATGAACAAACAAACAAATGAACACATTTTTAAAAAATTTATTTTTATGATGGATGGTGGTGGCGCACGCCTTTAATCCCAGCACTCAGGAGGCAGAAGCAGGTGGATCTCTGTGAGCTTGAGCCAGACTGGTCTGCAGAGAGACTTCCAGGTTGGCCAGGGTTACACACAGAGAAATCCTGTCTCAGAAAACCAATCATCATCATCATCATAAGTATTTTACCTAATTTATCTATTATGTGTATGCAAACATGTAGGAGTGCAAGTCATAGTGCATGAAGGTCAGAGGTCAACTTGTAGGTTTGGTTCTCTGCTTAGAACATGTGGGTGCAGGCAGGCTGGGCAGCAGGCACTTTACCCATGGATCCTCTATTTTTTATGTTGCTGTTATGGAAAACTGTTTATTTTTGAAACTATCTTAATTTAGAAACAGAAAACATCTTAGGAGGAGGGCAGGAGAGGACACAAGGCCTACAGGCAAATCTGCATGTCACGGGCTTCTCACGCTTCACTTGTTCACTAGTTTCCATCTGAGGATGCACTCAGCCACCCACAACAGGGTTAGTTATAGGCGTGTGGACCAGTGTCACAAGGAAGCCAGTGAATCTTATTACAGAAAAATCCTATTGCTATGCCCACAACAATCTTCTGGAACTATTTATTATACACCATGTTAAACCCCACTTAATGTCTACGGAGTTTTGTCTGCATGCACATCTGTAGACCCGAAAAGGGCATCAGATTCCATAGGACCACAGTTATAGACGACTGTGAACCACCATGTGGGGGGGGGGGGAAGTGAGCCCAGGTCCTCTGGAAGAGCACACAGTGCTCAGTGCCATCTCCAGCCCTGGAATTCTTTTCTGGGAGGTTTGCTGTATCTTTTAACCAGCTGAATTGGGTCCTTTACAAACTGCTGACTTCGCTCAATGAATTGCATTATCTGATCAATCCACGATTGTACACAGGATTTTGAGAAGCCTTTCTTAAATTTTTGTTGTTGCTGCTTTGTTGTTCAAGACAGAATTTCTCTGTGTAACCCTGGCTGTCCTGGAACCAGGCTGGCCTTGAACTCAGATCCACCCGCCTCTCCCTTCCAAGCACTAGAATTACAGGTGTGAGCCACCACTGTCCCTTTTCTTAGTTTTTTTTTTTAATTATTTTTTTCATATGTATTGGGGTTTTGCCTGCATGTATGTCTATGTGAGGGTGTCAGCTCTCCTGAAGTTACAGACAGTTGTAAGCTGTCATGTGGGGGCTGGGAATTAAACTCAGTTCCTCTGGAAGAGCAGCCAATGAGAATTCTTAGGCACGGAGTCATTTCTCGAGCCTGATTTTCTTCATTTTTGAAATAGGGTCTCATGTAGTGTGGGCTCGAACTTGCCATCTAGTCAAGGATAACCTTGAGGGGGTCTGGAGAGATGGCTTAACGTAAGAGCACTGGCTGCTTTTCCAGAGGATCTGAGTTCAATTCCCAACACCCACATGGTGGCTCACCACCATCTGTAATGAGATCTGGTGCCCTCTTCTGGCCTGCAGGTGTACATGCAGTGCACTTGTACATAAAATATAAATAACTTTAAAAAAAGAATAACCTTGAACTTGTGATTCTCCTGCCGTTGCCTTCTGAGAGCTGGGGTTACAGGTATGTCCCACAAATGCTCCACTGGATTGAAGATAAATTCAATCCATCCAATAATTAAAAAGACAATTTTTGTTAGTGTAGGTCAACGCACTTACATCTGTGTTCTTCTTTTTGTGATGCAGTATATTCCCATTTATGTGGGTGTGTGTGGTATATTCACATGTGTGTGGATGTGTGTGGCATATTCACACGTGTGTGATATATTCCCATGTATGTGGGTATGTGTGGCATATTTACACATGTGTGTGGTATATTCATATGTGGTGGGTGTGGTATATTCACGTGTATATGTGGGGGGTGTGGTATATTCACACATGTGTGGATGTGTATGGTATATTTGCACTTTTGTGATATATTCATATGTGTATGTGGGGGTGTGGTATATTCATACATGTGTGGATGTGTGTGGTATATTCGCATGTGTGTGATATATTCACATGTGTATGTGGGGGTGTGGCATATTCACACACGTGTGTGTGTGTGTGTGTGTGTGGTATATTCACATGTGTATGTGGGGGGTGGTACAGACACACGTGTGTGAGCACAGGTGTCCATGTACACGCACAGAGGATGGAGGAGGCTATCTGGTGTCCTGCTCTATCAATCTCTACCTTATCCCCTTGAGACTGGGTTAGGTCAGTAAGCCCTAGGGATTTTCCTGTCTCTGCTCCCCAGAGTGCTGATGTCATAAGCACCTGTGGCCACACCACGCTTTCTGCATGGGTGCCGGGTCCTGAGCTCAGGTCCTGTGCTTGCACAGCAAGTGGTCTTGCCCACTAAGACCTTCCTGTCCCCTCTGTCCCCCTTTATCACCTCTCAGGTGAGTGGGGTCCACCATTTCGGTTGTGAAGAGCCTGGAACAGCATTACCTTGCACGTCACACTGATAGTAGTTAGGATCCTCTGACTCTGTCTTGACTAAAATGGCTGCTGCCTTTGGTGAAGTACCTGGGAGAACAAGAGATCACAGTGAGGGCTCAGGTAACCACACCAACTAATGAAACATCTGGTTTGGTGGGAATTGCTGGCACAAGCCTGCCATCCCAGCACTCGGGAGGTAGAGGCAGAGACAGGAGAATCAAAAGTTCAAGATCCTCTTTGGAAGCAGGGTACTATGGCACACGCCTTTAATTCCAGCATTCCAGAGGCTGAGGCAGGCCAATCTCTATGAGTTCAAGGCCAGGCTCATCTGAATGACAAGTTCCAGGCCAGCTAGGGTCTGGTCTTAAGGACTGAGTCTTAAAAATAGAATCCTCTTTGGCTAAGAGTAAACTGAAGGTCAGTCTGCAGGGGCGTGCCCCCATGACCTGAAGACTTCCCAGAAGACTCCACCTGCAAAGGCCCCACCATCTCCCAGTGCATCCGTGGGGAACATGTGTTTAACGCTGGCCCTGTGGGGAACATGCGGGACCAAACTCGAGCAATAGCTGCGGGCTAAAGAGAAACAAAGCCAAGAGGAAGAAATGAGCCAGTGTCACAGCAGAGCAGAACGGAGCTGGGGGCATGCACCTCAGTCCCAACCCAGGCTTTCAACTCTCAACTCTTTCCCGGTTAACCCTGGTGATGGGTGCTTCTCTAGTCTCAGCTGTTGATGGCTTGTGTCTTGGGTGATCAGAGAATTTCAAAAACAAATTCCCCCAAGGTTATGTGGGGGCTGGAGGTATAGGCAGGTAGTTAAGAGCATGTGTTGTGTACTCGGGGGGACTGAATTCAGGTCCCAGCACCCACAAAGCAGGCCAGGTGCCCCCCCCACACACACACTTGTTATACCAGCTCCAAATGGAACAGAGACAGGAGGATTGCTGGGTCTTGCAGGCTTCCAGCCTCGACCAGAAAATGTGAGCCTTGGGTTTAGGGGGATACCCTGCATCAAGGAGCGGCTGGAGAGAGACAGAAGAGGCCATCTAATGCTTTATTACGGCCCCAGAACACAAAAGTGTGCACACCTGCAATCCTATATTATTTATTTAGTTAGTTAGTTATGTGCCGTTTTCCCCTGCATGTCTGCACACCAGAAGAGGGCATTGGATCCCAGGGAACTACTGTTATAGAACATTGTGAGCCACCATGTGGGTGCTGGGAATTGAACTCAAGACCTCTGGAAGAGCAGCTGGTGCTCTTAACTGAACCATCCCTCTAGCCCCATAATCCCACATTTTAAGCCTGTGCTATATATAGCAAGACTCTGTGTCAGAAAAAAAAATCCTAAATCTAATAAAATCTAAAACTGAACATGCTTTTGGAACCAAACTTTACTTATTTTAATCTAAGTTTTTTCTTCTGGATTTATTTTATTTCATATGCACATGCATGCCTGGTGCCCGTGATGGTTGAAAGGGCATCTGATCCTCTGGAACTGGAATTATAGATGAGTGTGACCCACCATTTGGGTGTTGGGAACCAAACCCAGGTTCCCCGGAAGAACAGAAAATGCTCCTAATGGCTGAGCTAGCTCTCCTAACCTTCACTCGTTCATTTTTCTATTGAGTGTGATACATGTGCCATGGAGTGCGGTGTGTGGTGGGCAAAGGATGGCTTGTGGGCGCTGGCTCTCTTCTTACAGGATGTGCATCCTGGGCATTCTACAGGCAAGTGTCTTTAATCGCTGAGCCAGCTCTCCAGCCCCCTTAGCTATTCTTATAAAAGACACAAGTCATTTTTATAAAAGTAAATAAAAAGAAGTCGGTCAAGTGGTAACCTGTTAACATTAGGTGGTCAGAGCGTCAGTGTACCTACCAGAATCTTCCATGGGTTCAGTTTTCACACTGATGGGGCCACAGCTGCAAGGAGAAGGGAATCCAGGTCAAGAAAATCAGTGGAGCTGGGCATGGTGGCGCACACCTTTAATTCCAGCACTCAAGAGACAGAGGCAGGGGGATCTCTGTGAGTTCCAGACCAGCCAGGAGAGCCAGAGTTACATAGTGAAACCCTGTTTCTTGTGTCACACACACACACACACACACACACACACACAGAGGCACACACGTGATATACATATCTACATGAACACATAAAAAATTTAAAAAAAAACATTCTTGACTTTTTTCGGAGGGGAGGGGAGGTTGAGACACGGTCTCACGCAGGCTGTCTTCAAACTCACTACGTAGCCAAGGGTCTTGGACCTCTTGATCACCTTGCCTCCCCTCTCTATCCTGGGATCACAAGGCTTTGTCACTATTTCTGGTTTATTATTCGTTCTATGCCTTTATTATTTATCTATTTTGTTTTTTTAGAGACAGGGTTTCTCAGTGTAGTCTTAGCTGTCCTGGAACTCGATCTATAGACCAGGCTGGCCTTGAACTTCTAGATCCATCTGCCTCTGCCTCCCAAGTGCTGAGTTTAAAGGCATGAGCCACTACTGCCTGGTTCATCCTATGTCTCTATTTTATTTTTTTAAATTTATTTATTATTTTATGTGCATTAGTGTTTTGCCTACAGGTATGACCATGTGAGGGAGTCAGAGCCCCTAGAATGAAGTTAAAGACAGCTGTGAGCTCCCATGTGGGTGCTGAGAATTGAACCCATTCTATGCCTTTATTACTGTTTTATTTATTATTGTTGTTGTTTTTTACCTGTCATTTGGTGGTCGTGCCAGCCTCTCGGCATCTGTCAGCATCCCAAGACCATCTGTGCAAGAACAATAAGGTACACGTTAGTCTCTCAGCCCTGTGAGACAGGGCTCACAGTCAAGGACACATCGTTTGAAATCAAAGAAAGAATGAAGACTTCTCAGCTCAAGGCCATCACAGACCACTAGTGGGGAGGAAAATGGTCAAAACAGCCCTGTTAGAGCAGCTAGTGGGGTTCGCTGGAAGTGAGCAGGCAGTGCCAGGAGTGTGGGTGTCCTGAGCAAGTCAGTACACCGGCTGTCTGCTTCTTCATGGGCACAGTGAGGTTTAGTGAGAAGTCGGCCCTCCACAGCCAGTGGTTCCCAACCCCCAGACCCCCAGCCCAGCCTGAGAGGACTCTGGGAAAAACCAATGTCCTGGACATGAAGAGGCTTTCTGTGTCACCATTATCCCCTTAGCAATTCACTGATACCTTTTGGGTTTCACTGTTGGATTTATTTTTCAAGATAGGTAGCTCAGGCTGGCTTGAAATACCCTGGGTACTAAGGATGACCCTGAACTCCTGATCCTCCTTCCTCCACCCACAAAGCACTAGGCTTTCTTCTCTCCTTCTTGCTTTTAAAATGTCTTTCCTCATTTGGATTAGGACTTTTATTTTCCTAATTTATTTTAAGTCTTATTTTTGGTGCTGAGGATTGACCCCGGAGCGGGACCGAGTACATGCTAGGCAAGTGCCCGACCACTGAGTTCCGTCACCTTGGCTCTTTGGTTTGCAACGAAGGCTCATCATGTAGCTTGAGCTGGTCTGGAACTCATTCTAAGGCCCAGGCAGGCCTCAAACTTGTTATTCTCCTGCCTCAGTCCCTCCAGCACTAAGATGGCAGTCCTTGGTCATCATGCTGGTCAGTCTAACCCTTGCCACTCGTCCATGGTATTGGGTGTCCTAAGTGGGCTGGACTGGAGTAATGCATAATGTACAGAAGGGAGCTGGCATCCAGGGACCTCGGAGTCCTCACATGGGGTTCCAGTGCTGACATCCCACACGGGCTGAGGAACCACAGAAGAGTGTCACCGCAGAAGCACTAAATGTCAGTTGCTATGTGTGACTGTTGTTTGATAAGAAAATATGAATTATTCTGGGGTGACAGTCACATGGTCTCCTGTCATTCAACCACCACACTAAGGTTTTTCTTTGGATTTTCATTTTTATTTATTCATTTCTACTTTTTTATGTGTATGTGCCAGTGTGTATGTATATATATGTGTGTGTATGTATGTATATATATATATATATATATATATGCCTGCATGTATATATATCACATGCATGCCTGATGCCCTTCAAAGCTAGAAGCAGGCATGGATCCTATAGAGCTAGAGTAATAGGCACTGTAAGCCACTGTGTGGTGCTGAGAACTGTGCCCTGGTCTTCTGCAAGAGTTATTAACCACTGGAGCATCTTTCCAGTCCTTTCTTTGGATTTTTTTGAGACAAGATTTTGCTATGTAACCCAGGCTCGTCTTGAACTCTCAACTCTCCTGACTCAGTCTCTCAAATGCAGGGATGACAGTGTGTACTACCACACTGGACACCAATTCCCTTCTCTAATAGGAGCCAGGGACCACAAAGCCCTCACAGAGATCCCACAAACAGGTAGCCCAGAAGGGGACCACAGATAGGTACACAGCAATGGGAGGACCACAGTTTCCAACCCTGTAACTCCTTCCTCTACCTGTGTTGTCAATCAGGATATCCCCTTTAGGCATCATAGTTTGTAAACTACTAGGGGTACAGGGCTCTAGTTACATTTCAAAAATCATAATTTAAGAAAATAACATGGATGGATTTCTTCATTTCTTTTCTTTCTTTTTTTAGACAGGGTCTTACTATGTAGCTTTGGCTGGTTAAGGGTTTCACTAGGTGGACCAGCCTGGCTTTGAACTCAGAGATAGCCCTGCCTCTGACTTCCAAGTGCTGGGATAAAGACATTTGTTATTATGCCCAGCCATAGATGGGTGGATTTTTTTTAAATATTCATTTATTTATTATGTATACAATATTCTGTCCACGTGTATGCCTTCAGACCAGAAGAGGGCACCAGACCTCATTACAGATGGTTGTGAGCCACCATGTGGTTGCTGGGATTTGAACTCAGGACCTTCGGAAGAGTAGGTAATGCTCTTAACCGCTGAGCCATCTCTCCAGCCCAGATGGGTGGATTTTTAAATGCTTTTGGCAGAGGTATTTGATATGCACACATGTGTGTATGTGGGGGTGGGGTAGGGGTAGGGTCCATTCATTGCTGTGAATCAAGGGGACGGGACATCTGGGTTCCCACAGGTCTGAGGGTTCTCCACCACACAGCTTTGTTATCTCATAGGTACCAACCCGATGAGTCGTTGCTTATTGATTTCTTAAACTTTTGTCTCTTTGAGGCAGGTTCTTTTTGGCCTCGAACTCACAGAGATTTGCCTTCTTCTGTCTCCCAAGTGATGGAACCCAAGGTGTGCTCTATCACCGCTCGATTGAGGCAGGGTCTTGCTATGCTGAACTTGAACTTGCTACATAGTTCAGGCTGGCCTTACCTCCTGAACCTCTTGCCTCAGCCTCCCCCATGCTGAGACTACAACAGTGGTCCACCACCCCAATGAGCCCCTGCTTATTATGAGAGCCATATCACTGTGAAGGTTTTCAGGCAAGCTGTCCCAGCCCCATCCCAACCCCACGGATGATGCTGACATTCTAAGAGCACCTCTCTTTGCCTGGCTCTTCGCTAAACAGATCATTACTTCTCCTAGACCTGAGTTTCAGAGACAAAGGAATGAATCCTTGACCCTCAAACCATCAACCCCTGGTCCATGCAGAGCTGGTACTCACAGACCAGCAGTTGACTCCCTCGTCCTCACACTCCTCTGGAAGGCCAGGTGGGTGTCACTACAGAATCCCCCTAGTCTAGGCTGTGATGAGTCTCCAGATGTTGTCTCTTCCTGTGCTGGCCTAGCTCTTGAGAGTCCCATAGGTTTTCTCTCTCTCTACTTTGTAGTGTTGATGAGAGAACCGTGGGTCTGATGCATGTTATGCAGGCACCCCCCACTGTGCCACTGAGCCACACCCCAGCCCCTCACTGGGGGATTCTAGGCAGGGGCTCTACCACTGAGCCACACCCCAGCCCCTCACTGGGGGATTCTAGGCAGGGGCTCTACCACTGAGCCACACCCCAGCCCCTAACTGGGGGATTCTAGGCAGGGGCTCTACCACTGAGCCACACCCCAGTCCCTCACTGGGGAATTCTAGGCAGGGGCTCTACCACTGAGCCCATACCCTGAGCCCCTCACTAGGGGATACTGTATTAGATTTTTCCCACTGAGCAATGGCTCTAGAACCTCAGTAATGGATCTAGGCAGGTGCTCTACCACTTAGCCAGGCTACCAGCGCATTGGGGGATTCTAGGCAGGTGCTTTACTATTGAACCACACACTCAGACCCTCACTGAGCAACCCCATAGGTAAGAGATCTACTTTCAAGCTGCCACCACCCTCAAGCACAGGTTGCCTCCTCGATGTGGTAAAATGAAGGAGAATATCAAAACAAGCATTATCATCATCATAATAGCAGATGGGTTCAGTGGCTCTTGGCAGTCACCGAGGATCAGAACCCACTACTCACCCAGATGGCTCTCTGCACCTCGGAAAGGTCTGCAAGAAAACCAACACCATTACCCAACAGGAACACAAGCAGAGCAGTCACACACAGTGAACAACCCACTTTGCTGTCGTTCTGGGCCTAAAACCCAGGACCTGGTACATGCCAGAGGAGAGTTCTAGGACTCAGCTAGGGCTTCAGATCATGATAATCTTACGTATTTGTTTATTTTTGAGATGGGTTTCAGTATACACCCCAGGCTGTCCTTGAACTCACCGTAACCCAGGCTTGCCTCAGTGACTCTCCTGCCTCGGTCTCCCGGTACTGCGATTGCAGGCCTGTGCCTCCATACTTGCTGTCAGTCAGCTTACTTTTGAGTGAATTATTAGAGGACACGGAGCAGATTACCTGTTTACGACGAATGAGATCCCTGCTTTGTTCTCCAGAATCCACCTCAGGGTTTCAGGACTGTAGTTGTCGGGGTGCTGAAAGGCCAGGCCTTCCGGAAGGCCCTGCACCAGCACAGCTGCCTCGTCCTGGAGCATCTGCTCGTAGGGAACAGGGACCGTAGCTGTCGTCCCCAGTGCTTTACCTGGAGAAGGAGGCGAGAGATGGCAAATGAGAGCTGCAGAATTTCAGCCAGCCAGCGTCACCCGGGCAATCAGACGCTGGGATACGCGGCTTGACAAAGTGTGCTCTCCTTCTGCTTCCTGACTGTGGCTGCAGTGTGGTCAGTAAGCTCCCTGCTTCTGCTGCCAGCCCTTCCCTGGCTGTTGCCATGACTTCCCTGCCATGATGGACTCTACCCCTCTTGTGATGGCTAATCTTGCTTGTCGACTTGAATGCATTAGGAATCAACTAAAACCCAAGAAGCTGGGCACAGCCAGGAAGGACTTTCTTGATTGGATCATGGAAGATGAGGTGACTTACCCTAAATCTGAGCCACACCTTCAGGCGGCAGTCCACATTAAAAGGACATGGAAGGAGGAAGCTTTTGCATTTTGCCTGCTTGCCCTCAATCTCGCTGGCAAAGTAATCTATCCTGCTGCTGTGGCACGCCTTTGCTGGTATTAGAACCTGCTCCTTTGGGAATCCAACACAGCCTGAAGACTAGCTAAGACATCCAGCCCTGTGGACTGAACAACTGCCAGGTCCTTGATCTTTCTGTCAGGAGACAGTCATTGTTGGATTAGTTAGACTGTAGTCTGTAAATCATGCGAATAATTGGTTATATATACATATAGATGTATATATTTATATATGTATATATAAATATACACACATATCCACATAGATGTGTTATGTATACATTAATTATGTCTGTATACACACACACACACACATATACACACAGATGTATACGTACATATCCAGCACATACACACACACGAAATGTATGTCAAATAAACTGTGTCCTCCCCAACTTGCTTTTTTATTTCCTCCTTGTTTTTTGAGACAGGGTTTCTCTATGTAACAGTCCTGGCTGTCCTGGAACTTGCTTGGTAGAACAGGGTGGCCTCTGCCTCCTGAATGCTGGGATTAAAGGTGTAAGCCATCCACTGCCTGGCTTTTTTGTTTGTTTATTGAGACAGGGTTTCTCTGTGTAGTTCTAGCTGTCCTGGAACTAGCTCTGTAGACCAGGTTGACCTCGAACTTACAGAAATCCACCTGCCTGCTTCCCAAATGCTGGGATTAAAGGCATGCACCACCACTGCTCGGTTTCAACTTGCTTTTTAGTATTGGTATTTTATTACAGCAATAAAAACCCAAACAATGACTACACACACACACACACACACACACACACACACTCATTCATTCATTCACTCTATTAGTTCTGTTCCTCTAGAGAACCCAGAGCAATACACTTTTAAAACAACAGGCCAAAGTAAACATTTTCTCATTTAAAAAAAACAAAACAAAACAAAACAAAACAAGGTGGGGGGCACAAAAGAGATAGCTCAGTGGTTAAAAGCACTAACTGTTCTTCCAGGGGACCTGGGTTCAATTCCCAACACCCACATTGTGGCTCACAACTGTGTGTACTTCCAATTCCAGAAGATCCAACATCTTCTGACCTCTTGAGGCACCAGGCACAAATATGTGTAGACATACACGCAGGCAGAACACACATACACATAATTTTTTTTTTAAAAAAAGGCACAAAGTAGCTTTTACTTCTCTACCCTAAAAGATCAATACAATTTCCAATCAAAGCTGTAAAATTATGGCTGAAGATCAGCACATATAGTGTTTGTTTGGCAGAGACAGAAGCTCGGGTTTACTACCCACCACTGTATAAAAACAGGAATAGTGGTACATACCTGCACTGCAGTGCCCACATGGTGGTACACAACCATCCATAACTCAAAAGGATCTGCTGCCCTTTCCTGACTTTCATGGGCATTAGACACACACACACAGGGAAAAAACTGAGAACAACAGGCCTGTTCTTCCATCCTCTGGTGGCTGAACGGTTCAGTGGTGCCTGCCTCAGGTTGGTCTCTATAGAGAGCACTCCAATCCAGAGCTTGACTGAGACATTGTTGGGTCAGTTAGCTGGCCTGGTGTGAGTTCACTCACCATTTGGAGCTTGGTCATCAGCAGGGGCGGAGGCCCAAGGCACTAGAAGGCCACTCCTCACAGGGAAGTGTCACTTGGGACCCCAGGCACTTATGCTACAGAAATGCACCAGGCTGTGTGGGGTGGGGAAGGCAGGCCCTGAGAAACTGAGGGCAGTATACTGCTGTCGTACTTATGGTGATGTGTGATATCTTTAAGTCAGTCTCTTATTGCACATGCTCGCCTTGAACTCCTAAACTTCTGCTTCAACCTGCTGAGTGCCAGGATTACAGGTATGTACATCCATCCCAGCCCCTTAGGTTGTTTTCTTTTCCTGGTTTTCCATTTCTTCTCTTTCTTATTTTTCCTGCCCTCCAACTCAGAGATCCACCTGCTTCTGCCTCCTGAATGCTGGGATTCAAGGTGTGCACCACCACCAGGCTTGTTTATTCATTTATTATTATTATTTTTTTTTGAGACAACCCCTGTGTAATGGTCCTGGCTGTTCTGGAACTCACTCTGTAGACCAGGCTGGCCTCAAACACACAGAGATCTGCCTGCCTTTACCTCTCGAGTATTGACATTAAAGCAGAATTTTTTATTCCTGGTGTATAAAGTATATGCATGTGAGGCTAGAAAGATGGCTCAGCTGTTAAGAACACTGGCTGTTCTTCCAGAGGAGCTGAGTTCAATTCCTAGCAACCACATGGTGGCTCACAACCATCCGTAATAATATCTGGAGCTCTCTTCTGGCCTGCAGTCGTACATAATAAATAAATACATCTAAATAAATAAATAAATAAATAAATAAAATGTGTGTAAACTGGGCGGTGGTGGCACATGCCTTTAATCCCAGCACTCAGGAGGCAGAGACAGGCAGTTCTCTGTGAGTTTGAGGCCAGCCTGGTCTACAGAGTGAGTTCCAAAATACCCAGGGCTATTACACAGAGAAACCCTATCTTGGAAAAAAAAAAAGTGTGCATGTGTGCGTGTACCATGTGGCTGTGCAGGTGCATATACCTTCACATGTACACATGAAGGTGGACAAAGATACTGAATGACTTCCTCTATGCACTTGCCTTACTTCAGTAAGACAGGGTCTCTCAAACTGGACATGATAGCACACGCCTTTAAACCTAGCCTTGGAAGACGGAGGCAGGTGGATTTCTGTGAGTTTGAGGCCAGCCTGGTCTACATCCTGAGGTCCAGGCTACCTAGGGGTACATAGTATGAGAAGTTCACCATTTTGGCTAGCCTGGCTGGCCAGCAGCCTCCTGGGATCTGTCTTTGCACTGCAAAGTTGGGACTACAGGCACATGCAGCCATGTCTGACTTTGTACATGGGTGCTGGGGATTCGAACTCGGATCCTCATGCTTGCACAACAGTAGTTACCACTAAGCCAACTGCCTAGTTCTTTCACTTTTTTTTTTTTTTTTGAGACAGAGTCTCTGTGCAGCCTTGGCTGTCCTGGAACTCACTCTGTGGACCAGGCTGGCCTTGAACTCAGAGATCCTCCTGCCTTGGGGTCCTGAGTGCTGGAATCACAAGTGTGCTCCACCACATGTAGCTGTCCTGTGACGTCCCTACATGGACACATCTACCACTGGACTTTCTCCACACTTGTACCCATCACACTCCCCTTTCTGCTGCACAGCCACTGGGTGATTTACAGGTGTGGGCTGTTTTTTTTTTTTCTTTGTGATGCTGATGACGGAGCTAGAATCTATCACCCAGTGAGGGGCTGGAGGTGTGGCTCAGTGGTACAGCACCTGCCTGGCAGGCGTGAGACTCTAGGTTTCCCCCACCACACTGCAAAGGAAATATATAAATTAATGAGTAAATGAGTTCACAGAATCCTTAGTCATCAAGTTGATACAATTACACAACTCCTCCATGGCTATTTAGAGACCGAGAGAGGGTTCAGGGGTAAAAGAGCTTACTGTGCAAGCATGGTGACCTGAGTTCAATCAATCTCCTGAGCCCACAATAGAAGAATACCAACTTCCTGCAAGTTGTTCTATGGCCTCCAAGGGTCCTGTATGGCACGTGTGCACCTCACTCACTCTCTCTCTCTCACACACACACGTGTGTGTGTTGGGGATGTATGGAGGCGGTACCCATGCTCCATCAGGACTTACGGTAACAAAGGCAGAAATGGTCCTCTACTGCTTTCCTGAGCAGCTGGGCTTCTCCATCTTCAGGACACAGTGGTTTCTCTTCAGCCAGCCCTTCCCCCTGGCCTGCAAACACAGGATGAGCATGGGTCAGAGCAAGCATTCTGTCTGGCCCTTCTATCCGTACTTTTGGTACTGAGGGAAAGGAGGGAAAAAAGGAAAAGTCATAAAATGACCCTCTTACGTAAAGAAATAAAGAGGGATCTTTTTTTTTGTTGGTTTTGGTTTTCGTTTTTCGAAGGATAGAAGCCAGAGTTTCTAGAGAACCACTCTACTAACTGAGCTGTTTCTCCTAGTCCCTAGAATAATCTTTCCAAAAAGGTTTATTTATTTATTTATTTATTTATTTATTATGGATACAGTTTTCTGTCTACATATATGTCTGCAGGCCAGAAGAGGGTACCAGATATCATCACTGATGGTTGTGGCCCACCATATGGGTGCTGGGAGTTGAACTCAGGACCTCTGGAAAAGCAGCCAGTGCTCCTAACCGCTGAGCCATGTCTCCAGTTCAAATACAGTAATTTTTTTTAAAGAGTTATTCTTATGTGCATGTGTGTGTGTGTGTGTGTGTGTGTGTGTGTGTACGACACATGTGTGTGGATACTCTTGGAGGCCAGAAGAAAATATCTGATCCCTTGGTGCTGGAGTTACCAGAGGTTCTTACAGATCTGATGAGGATGCTGAGAGCCAATCTTGGGTCCTGTGTAGGTGCAGCAATTCCTTAACCACTGACTATCTCTCCAGCCCCAACAGAATGGCAGGCTTATAAGATGAATAGGATCAAGCCTGGCGGCCACCCCTGAAATGAAGCTACTGCTCACTTGGGAGCAGCACTTGGGCGTCTGAGAAAGGAGGGCCAGCACAAGGGCAGCAATGACTACAGTCTCACAGGTGACCCCATCTCAAAATGACACAAATAACAAGAAAAACCCTCAAATCAGCAACTAAATCCTACACCACCTCAAGAATCCATAGCTGGGCATGGTGGCACACATCTACAATCCCAGCACTCAGGATATCATCAGGCTAGGCACGCTAGGACGTGTTGTCAATCCCAGCACTCAGGAGGCAGAGGCAGATGGCTCTGAGTTCAAGGACAGCCAGGGCTACCCAAAGAAACCCTGTCTTGAAAAAAACAAAACCAACCTGTAGTTGGTTTGTTTAATTATTTATTTTTAACTCTTTTGGCTCTTTGGGGCCTGTCACCCAGCTCCCAAATAAATTACACAGAGGCCTATTCTTTTTTTTTCTTGTTTTTGTTTTGTTTGTTTGTTTTTGGAATTCCCTCTGTAAACCAGGCTAGCCTCAAACTCACAGACATCCACCTGCCTCTGCCTCCTGAGTACTGGGATTAAAGGCGCCACCACCGCCTGGCCACAGCAGGTTTTTTGTTGTTTTTTTTTTTTCTTTTCTTTTCGAGACAGGGTTTCTTTGTAGACCAGGCTGACCTCGAACTCACAGAACTCTGCCTGCCTCTGCCTGCTGAGTGCTGGGATTAAAGGCGTGCACCACTACAGTCTGGCAATTATTCTTAATTCTTATAAATTCCCAGCCTTAGCTTAGTTTATTTTTAGCCAGCTTTTCTTAATTTAAATCACCCTGTCTATCTTTTGCCTCTGGGCTTTTATCTTTCTCTTTCTGTATACCTTTCTTTACTTTTTATTCCATGGCTGGCCGTGTAGCTGCCCCTGAAGTCCTTTCTCCTTTTCTTGTCCCTTGATCTTTTCATCCCAGATTACTCCTATTTATTCTCTCTGCCTGCCAGCACCACCCATCCTCTCTCCTGCCTGGGTATTGGCCATTCAGCTTGTTAATAGACCAATCAGGTGTTTTAGGTAGGAAAGTGACACAGCTCACAGACTTAAACAAATGCATCATAAAAGAATGCAACACACCTTTGCATCATTAAACAAATGTTCCACAGCGTAAACGAATGCACATCTTTAACTTATATTCTACAACACCAAACAAACAAACAAACAAAAAACAAACAAAAAAAATCAATAAATGCAATACATCGTGTTAACAGAATGCTGAGCAAAAATCCTATCATCAGTGTGGTATATGTTTTAATCTTGGGAGGCAGAGGCAGGAGGATCTCTGTGAGTTCAAGGCCAGCCTGGTCTAGACAGCAAGTCTTAAGTCAGCTAGGGCTACATAATGAGACCCTGTCTCAATTTTTCTTTTTTATAAAATGAAATATGAGGCTAAAATTGGGGCTACAGGATACAGTTCAATGGTAAAGTACTTGCCTAGCATGTGGGAGGACCTAAATTCAATCCCCAATGTAACACCAACCAAACAAACAGCACCAGGGAAGACACAATACAGTGCTGGCCACCTACAGTGCTGTGCGAAGTCTTTCTGGAAATCCTGTCTGGCGTTGACAAAGGCACAGCCTCGATCTGTCCCCACCACGTACACCTCCGCCTCATACACAGCGATGCAGACCACCTCGGCCTTGGACTTGGCCAGCTCTTTACACTGCAACAGAAACGCAAAACAATGGTGGATTCTACACATGCAGGACTCAGAGTTGGTTAGGTGGGCTGAGGAGTCCTACTAAAGGAACAAAAGGAAAAATCAAGTACAAGAAAGAAGGCACACACCCACGATCCCAGCACAGGGAGGTGGAGGCAGAAAGATCAAAGTCTCCCTGGCATAGCAAGTTCAAGGTCAGCCTGGGCTGGATGAGAATCTGTCTCAAAAAACAAAGCAAAGAAGGGGCAGGTACCAAGAGACTTTCTCCCAGATGCCCAAAGTGCTCACTCTCTCTCCCTTAAACATTTCTTTTCATATTCTCCTTTTCACTTTAGTATGAGCAGCAGTAGTAATGTGTGTGTGTGTGTGTGTGTGTGTGTGCTCATGCGCGCACATGTGTTTCAGCATGCCCACATCACAGGACTCGTGTGAAGGTCAGAAAACAGCTTGCAGGGGTCAGTTCTCTCCTTCTACTCTGTGGGTCCTGAGAATTGAGCGCAGAGTCAGCGTTGTGTCAGCTCCTTTGCCTGTTGAGCTATCCTATTGGCCTACTTTACAGTTATTATATTTACCTACAGAAACACATACACTTAGGAGAGAAGGCCTGTGAGGGGGCCTACTCTGCCCTCATGCCTTGCACCCCAGTGTCTAGAAGACTGGATTGTAGGGGGCCCATCATGAGTGCTTGTTTTTCAAATGCAGGAATGGATCCATTTCCATTCCATTATTTTGGGGGCAGATATTTCTAGTTTTCTTTCTTTCTTTTCTTAGGGGGTAAAGAGGATGATCTCATGTGTCCCAGACTGGCCTTGAACTCAATGTTAGGCTAGCAAGACAGCCCGGTGGATAGCCTTACAACCTGAGTTTGATCCCCAGGACTCACAAGATGGAAGGAGAGTACCAGCTTCCCAAAAGCCACCCTCTGACCTTGGGGTGCATTCTATGGCCTGTACATATCACATACACTAAATGTTTGTAAAAAGATCAAAACAACCCTGACCCATGCCCTTACTGACCTTGAACTCCTGACCCTTCTTTCTCTACCTCCCAAAGTGCTAGGGTTTATGGGTGTGTACCGCCACTCCTGGAATGAAGAATACCCTCATATAGACAAGATGAGGTACATGAGACGTGACCCTGAAGTGTGTCGCCATCCCTCAGCAATGGTCTGAGAAATTGGCAGAACCAGAGCATCTCACCATGGACTCCAGAGCAGACATGAGGAACGTCACCACCATCCTGCTGTCTGAAGACTCATCTCCAGTGGGCACGGTGGGCACTGCTACCTGGGCCATTGCTCCTGCAAAAGAGAAACAAGAATGCAAGTGGTGTCAGTGTCCTTGTGATCACATGACTACAGCTCCGTGAGTTCATGGACTGAGGGGTCATCATGGTTTAAAGTTTTGATCCCCAGGCTGGTGCAGGATGGAGATGCCAGTAACTCTGGGAGGTGAGGCATCCTGAGGACATGAGGGTACCCTTGTGGGATACCCAGACTCTACCTAACCGGAAGCTCCCACAGCAAAGATACAAGATGCATGGAGGAATGTGTGGTTGAGGTGGGTCCCATCATGATCTACCAGGAAGTTCTTGAGAGAAGAGTGCTCCAGTTATCTTTTTAAAGGGTCTCATAAAACAGCCTCTGGCTGGCCTGGAACTCATCAATAGACCACGCAAGCAGGCCTCAAAATCATGAAGATCTTCCTGTTGCTGCTCCCTGAGTATGGGATTAAAGGAATGTGCCACCACGCCTGTTTCTATTTTATTTTATTTTGCAGAAGGGTCCTATGCAGCCCACCCTGCTGACTGACATTGAACTATGTGGGCAACGATGACTTCCTGACTGACCCTCCTGCCTCTATTTTCCAAGTGCTAAGAGTACAGACACATACCACTATGCTTGGCTTAAAACATTGACCTTTAACAAAGAAGGAAATGACAGGAAGAAAGGTGGGGGCTGATCTAAGGGATTATCAGCTGTCATCCATTCTGCACTAACAGTAATGAACAATCAACAGTGTCCGACTAATTATGCTGTATTTGTATCCTGTATACAACAAAGAGGGAGGCAGGGAAACTTTCTTTTCTTAAACCTGCTTTTATTATCTTTACTTATTGTATGTGTAGGCATGTACACCAAAGCACACACATGGAAGTCAGTGGACAACTTTTTCTGAGGTTTTGGTTTTCTTTCTCTCTCTCCCTCCAGACAAGGTTTCACATAGCCTTGAACTTACCACAGAGCTGAACTGGCCTTGAATTCCTGAGCCTTCTGTCTCCACCTCCCAAGTGTTCAGAGGACAGGCAGGTGTCACCACATTGGGCTCCCGGTTTTAAAAAATGTTTCTGCTTATACATAGGCAAATGTGTGCATGGGGGTGCCTCCAGGGGCCAGAAGAGGGGCTCAGATCTCCCAGAGCTGGAGTTAGAGGTGGCTCTGAGCCACCTGACATGGGTGCTGGGAACAAACTCAGGTCCCCTGCAAGAGCAGCGAGCGCTGTAATCACTGAGCATCTCTCTGGCCCCATAACCACCATTATTAGCCCTTCTGAGAAAAGGGTACATTATGCAGGAGCCCAAGCTAACCTCAAACTCACGATCCTCCTGCTTCAGCTTGCTGAGGCTTAGGGTTGCAGACATAGACCACCAAACATAGTGGAACTAAACACTTCAGGCCATCAATAAGCCCCATAAAATATAATCTCTAATAGGTCTTAATAGTAAAAGCCCAGAGTCAGATATAGGGAGAAATGCTGAGAGATCGGAGAGATGAAGAAGCAAAACCACAGACACCTTACCTACTCAACTTCACAGCCAAAAGGAGACTGAGTTCCTTTTTCCTTCCGCCTCATCATCTCCTCTCTGCCCAGCCATATCACTTCCTGTCTGTCTGTACTGACCTCCAGACCTCTATGATTAGCTAGTGGTTAGCTCTGCCCTCTTATTTTCAAGCAAGCTTTATTTGTACAAACAAGATATCACCACAAAGTTTGATCCAGCAATTCTATTCTTTAATGAACACCCACAAGAATCCAAAAATAAATACCCATATCCAACACACAGAAATAAACACAGTGGTGTCATCCACCACAGACAAAATGTGCCTTACTTATTTATTCTCCTACCTTTAAAAGATAATTTAGTCATATGTGCATATTGTGTGTGTGCACACTCACGTGCATATACTGAGGTGCCTGTGGAGGCCAGAAGAAAGTTTTAAATCCCTTGGATCCGAGTTACAGAGGGTTGTGAGCTCCCTGCTATGGGTTCTCAGAATTCTACTTTGGTCCTCTGCAAAGGCGGCAAGCACTCCTAACTGCTGAGCCATCTCTCCAGCACCTCCACTTATTGTTATAAACAAATAGGTCTTATTTACTAGGTTCGCAGAAAATGTTAACTGTATAAAACTTATGAAGGCGTAAGTCACAGACAATCCCACACCAGTTTGGAATTATGATTAATAGAATGGTTATTTATTCAAAGGGGAAAAAACTTACAGATTACCGTCCCAGACAACAGCCCCTCCACGCGAACAGGAAAGGAGTCCAGGGGCCGGAAACGGAGCCGGAAGACAAAGACAGAGTGGAGGACAGCCGCTGCTTTTTTTAAAGGGAGAGAGACCACGCCCCAATGGGCTGGTAACTCAGCGGCGATTGGCTGAAGGAGCTGAAGGAACTCCCACAGCATCTCCCCCTTTTGTTTAAGTAAGAGAGTTCTAAGCCTACTACGCAATTATATACAATAAGTACAAACCTACGAAATTATATACAATAAATACAAATATCCTATTCTAACTAGCTTAAGTCTTGTATAACAAATAACTTGGCCAAGTCATGAAAGGAAAGTAACTACATTTATATAATCTTCAATCCCATCAAAGATCTGAGAAGGGAAATAATGTTATCTGAGTAATTAGGAAGTGCAATCAAACAACTTCCAGAACATATAACAAATCGCAGAGACGACTGGCTACCTGGACAAACACCCAAAGTCACATTTGCAGCGTTGAAGCAACCAACTTTGGCTAAGGCCTGATGTAACTGACATACCATTTTCAAAGGCAAGAAACTTCAAAACTATCTTACCCTGTCTTGGCAGGATATGACAGTCTTGTTTTATCCATTTACGGATATTCTGTAACTCTGTCAGTAGTTGAGGTATGAGCATTTCTTTACCCAAAGGCCAGTTCTGCCAAGAAGAAAGGCTCCAGGTGGAGTGTCTTTGGTGCTCAACATTCTCTCGGGCATAGATCAGTGTTGCCAGGAGTGATTGTGTCTCCCTACCATAGAACTCTGAATTAGATTAAAGGCCATTTTCTACAGCTCTTTGAAGAGGTTGAAGATTAGCTATCTATACTGAATATAATCTCTATATATCTAAAGAACCTGATTAGTCTAATTATAAATGACAAACTTAGATGACTGTTGATCTATATAATTCTCAATATCTGTCTAACTTAAAGACTGAGATAATAAACAACTGTGCAATAAATGAGGACAATGTGACCTCCAAATATAAACAATGTGCAAGTATACATTACAATATGGTAAATATATATCAATACATAAACAATATATAAGTATCTTAATCAGAGGTAGAAGTGTACAATGCAATATGATAAATATACATATATCAATACAATATATATATACAAATACATAAAAATGTTTTAAACAGAGGTAGAAGCATGAAGCATGCATGCATAAAATAGTCAACATAATTTAACTTTGTATCAATATATAAGAATTGATACCAATATGTTTGTCTAAAAGCAATAACTCACAAGTACAAATCTATTTATCCCATAATCCAATTATCCCTCTTTTTTTTTTTTTTTTTTTTTAAGATTCCTGTGCTTATAAAATTCCTCCCCCAACCCTCAACCGTATACTAATTATAACCAACCTCTAAATGATGTCCCTAAACCCAAGGACAAACTTTATTGGGAGAGGGGACGTCGTTCTCTAGAATTACTTCCAGCTGTCATGGGGGCGACGTTCTTTCTGGGGGATCCTGTGAAAGTAAAAGGATGGTTAAATTTCAAGATCAATGTCTTTTAAAATTGCAAATAGTCTCTGAGTATTTTGTGGAGGTCTGGCCAGAATGTTGTACAAGATGTGCACCATTTCAGCACGTTGGAACCGTCTTGTGCAGCTGGTACCCAAAACAGGTCTTGTAGTAGCGCTATCAGTATCATGACGTCATATCAACTGGGTGGAGTTGTTGTTATAGGGCCCCATCTTCTTCCTGGAAACTTCAAATGTCACTGTAGGAAAAACTCATTGTTCATTGTGGAAAACTTAAACATTAATTATATAGACATATACATGAATACCTATATTCAATGAGAGACATGATAGATATATTTAATGAAGGTATGATAGATATGAAGAAAAGTAAAAATGTTTTCTAAACTCATATTTCTTTCTGTCCCATATCATGGCTCTTGACATGAGACAGAAACTCCAGAAACTCTGGGTTTTTCTTTAAACAACAGGCTTGGAATTAGAGAGGGACTGAGCCAGAGTCCAACTCTAAAACCAGCTCTATAAATTTAGAAATATGATTTAGTATGGTACTTACAGAACCTATTCAGTTTTCTTGATAGTCCCTATTGGGCCGTTATTTTCCATCTGTCAGTATTCAAATATCCAGGGTCCCTTGAACTTTTCAAAGATCAGTGTTTTCCTGTGGAGATAAGAACAGAACCCTGCCCCCATTCTATATGCTTTTCTTACCACCTGTATGGTTATCATCATTGTAGATGCTGTCATTTCTCCTTTCCAAGAGGTTTCTCCTCTTCAAATCGAACCTTTATTAATTTTGATGGTATCCACAATTTTTCTTCTCCTGTGGAAACAAGAGCAAAACCCCTTCCCCAACGTAGCACATCTCCTGGCCTCCATTGAGAGGTCAGCACGTCTTTGAAATAAACAGGTTGGTTTAGTTCAGAAGTTTTTTCCATTATCCAATGCCTCTCTGCTGCTGTTGTTCCTTTCTCATTAGCATTAAGAAAATTCAAGGTTAATAAAGCATTATGCAATCTATTTCTGGGGGTATCTTTCGTCCCTTTCTGTTTGTTTAGCATATCCTTTATAGTACGATTTGATCTTTCTATAACTGCCTGACCTGTAGGATTATTTGGTATACCTGTAACGTGTTTTATATTATAATAAGCAAAGAAGCGTTTCATTTTCTTAGATACATATGCTGGACCATTGTCTGTCTTTATTTGTGCAGGTATACCCATGATGGCCATAACTTCCAATAAATGTGTGATTACCGAATCAGCCTTTTCTG